TTAACCATGGAAAGAAATGAAGGAGGGAATTACAGTGAACCTGATCTGGCTCTCACCAATGGTCTCTGTATCTCCTACATCTATTCTCTCTGGACCTGTTTCACTGCACAGACAACAGAGTTCTTTTCTGTGATGCTCCTATAGAAACACAGCCTAACAATTAACACACTTTGGGTTTATACATTTAGAGATATCACATAAACCATATCACTTAATCTCAAACAACAAGTATATCGACCTAAAATATAAGTGAATAGTAAAATCACCACAGTATTTTTACACAAGACCAAACCAACTCAAGCTTTTTGTACAAAGGCGTCTTCTCCAGGTTTATTTTTAAAAAATAAAACTCTCTCATCCCAGGACTTGATATAAACAAGTGATATTATTATAATATATTAGTTATTTAAACAAGCTTCACCTTCTTAGAATTATAGTTTGAGAAAATACAAAAGGTTATTAACAGAAATCTGCATGTCTATACACCACAAACTCCTTAGGTTTTCAAAAATTCTCATTCGCCAATGTGTTATGATGTAACTGCAATAAGAATAACATATTCAGGTGAGGTGTCCATGACCTCGCTAAAAAAGCTTTATCTGTTGTATCAGTTCACCGAGTGACCCATCATATCATGCACCACAGCCAAGATCACTCCAGTGACAATGCAGTGACCACTACAATCCAAACAGAGCTCAGCTGACTGGAACCACTCTTATTCCAGAAGGAACAAGCTTTCTGCAGTGCAGGGAAAATGTTCTAGCTTTCCGTCTCTCACTCCCACATGGGGTCTGCAGTCCTCCACTAGTATAACCCCCTCCTGCTGTGTATTGTTGAGATCAGGAAGCTACAACCAGCAGTACCTTCCAAGCCCTGCTCAAACATGACAAGTCGCTAGTGGGAATTACACTCCAAAAATTATAATAGAGAAGGTCAAACCATCTTGTTGAACAAGGTGGTAGCTTTAACCATCTTTAGTAACATATGAGATAGATCAGGCTTTTAAGACATCCACACACATCTTTCTGTATTAATAAAACAGAACAGAAATGATAACTTCTTTAAAATGTTTTTTTTAAATACACCATGCTCTTTGATGTACATACATTTATGTATTTCAGATGTAAGTGCTCCTATTTGCTCCTCACCAGCAACAATAAAGGAGGAGAACTTTCTAATGTTTTCCATTACCAAAACTCATAAATGTCATAATGTTCAAATACATATAATTAAACTGACAACTCCTCATATAAATTACATGGGGTAAAGCATGAAATGGTAAAGAAAAGACAATCCTATTCTGCGTTTTAATAGCAGTTAATGGATTTTAGGCTATAAAACCCTTTTCTCTCCTATTTAGGCATGATTTATCTTTAAAGAAATCTGTCTTTAAGCATACAACTACAGTAGGGTCTCCTCAGAGAGATCCCTGTAAATCAAATCCTAGCAAAGCAAACAGAAGTACACTGCAATTACTAAAAGCAACCTTTTTGCAGGATATATGATATCTTTGTTGATATATATGTTAAGGTCAATTAAAGAAAAGTGGATTTTGTGTCCATTCTACTACGTACATTGGGCACCTTTTTGTAAGCCCTTATTACAATGAAAGTGAGCTACAGAAAAAAATTGCAACTTACCCCAATGGAAATAATGTATCAGTTACTAATGGTCGAACTTGAGAACCGCTGTTGCCAACCAGGGACTATACATACGACATTTTGCTTTATTTGCTCAGATTTCCAGAAATGGATTTCATAAGCAGCCGTAAGTGTGAAAAAAGGGATTTGCAATCAGTCCCTGAAGTTTACAGCTTCAATAATAGGCGCGGACTGCGGGCTCAAAATATAGAATATTGGATACGACTAGACGATGATTCTATATTAAATTGCCTTTTCAGTTAAAAAGAACAGTATTGAACATCGGCCAATTTAGTAAACAACAGTAATGAGCATGAAGCCACCGTGCTACCCACTGCCAAAAAGAAAAATTAATATAAGGGTGAAATAAACTGGGTAGGACAAGTTGAGCTGTGGAAAAACAAATGTATAAAATGTCTTCATTGCATTGTAAACCTGTACATAATGTATCTGCTAAGCAAGGAGACCTGCAGATACAGAAGTCATTTCACCCATCATAATTAAATAGTAGGCACGTTTAGTAGAGATGCTCTTTTAAATGCGTTTTATTTTTCATGTGAGACAAAGATGCAAGGTTTTTTTCAAGTCTGACATTTCAAACCCTATTCACCTTCTGAACTGCTGGCTGTGTATCATTCTTTTCTATTAAAACCACTGCCAGGGTCTGATCTCAAGCAAGAATCCTCCAGGCTAGGTCAGGGGCACTCAACCTTGGCTTCTCGACTCCAGTCTACTGCAGCAGTTTATTCCTCCCAGACTGAGAAATACATAATTGGTTTTCATCAGGTCCAATTAAATTAATAAGGGCCTGGTTAGAGCAAACATCTTGCAGAAATACAGCCTAGGTGGGACACCCGATAAAATACAATTAAAATAGGTACAAGAATATGAATATTTCCGTAACAAATCTGCCACAATTCTCAAAAGCATAAACTAAAATGGATAAATCACATTTTTAACCTCTTAATATAAATCGGCTACTAAATTATAGAATCTAATTTTTTGTTTGAACCAAAAAAGAAGTAACTTCTTAAATTGCTACAGGCAGAAATGGTAGAAATGTATTTTTTTAATACAGAAATCAGCTTGCACAAAAATATGTTTAACTCACAACAATCATTTTTATCTGTAGCAGTTTGTTTTTGGGTAGTTATTATGCCTAGACAACTTTTTCCCTTCAAAACAGAAAAAAAATTAAAGCCATGTTCTTTCTCGTACTCGTCTGATTTCATGCATTTATTCAGCATCGAGAAGGAATTTATTCCAGAATAAATCACTTACTCAACACGGGTACTAAAAATTCAAAATACTCTGAGTGAAACTGCGGCTGCTGTGAAGACAAGGATATATAGTAAAGTGTATCAGAAGTGGCCGAGCCTCAGCAGGTAAAATAAACTCTCTTTCACAACATTTATAATTCATGAACCGATATATATATATAAAACCTAGTGCATATACAGTATACTGTATTTGAATGTGTCTGTCCTGGAGTCTCCCACAAGGTGAAATGAGTACAGATGCATGGGCTCTTGGAGGCACAAAGCCTCAACAAACTCTTGTTTAACTCTTGTGTTAATGCAAGGTCCACATGGGGTCACGTTTGATTAGAAAACCCAAAGGGAGGAGTTCCACCAGTCACAAGGGCATTGTTAGTGTCTTAAAATGACCAAGAAGAATTGCTGATTATGCAACTATCACTCTGATACTAATAGGAATTCTATTTGAATAACTAACATAACAGATGTTTGCTGGGCACCACCATGCTGTCTGCATACACAGTTATGCTAATTTGGCAGTGTTTCCCTTCAAGTTAGCTCTGAGTCATTAGAGCACACAGCTAGCCTGGGTCCTTCTGTCTAACTAATAATTGGCCATTATTGATATTAATTAACATTTTTTGCACCTTCTCTCCTTTTTTGACCTAGTATCTGTTGGTAAATCTAATCACTGTGGCCTATTAAGTGTTGAAATCAGGGACCTACAGTAGTCACGAGCCATTTATCAAAAAAGAACACAAGGCCAATTAAACAGGCGGCCAGACAGTTGTCTTGATTCGCTGCTGACTGCTTCTTGATCACCATTATAAATTGCTAATAGGGCAGAAACTGCTAAGCAGTGTGTCTGCAGGGGGTTGCTATTGCTCACTCCCTGCCTGGTGACAGGTGAGGGAGGCCAGTGATGGCCTTATTGATGTGGGCTGCCCATCAGTTGGTATTTATTGTGAAGGCTCATGATGCCACAGCTGATCCCTTCCTGCTGTGAGTCAATCAAATTAATTAGGGCTAGAAATTCTATGCTATCATTTTACAGCATGCAAATGACCTGCTATTTGGAGCTGAAAGACAATAAAAAAACTCCACAGCCTCCGCCACACTTGACACAGAAAAGCCTCCTCCATTATTTTATAATAAGGGCTGAAGCTAAAGGTTTTTATGGCCACAGATCAAGAGATCATAATAGAAGCATATTGACAGAATTTTTTTCTGCAATACTCCGAGGGACCTGCTGTAGCAGGAAAATATATCAAAAGCCTATCATCAGTGCTCGGATCTTCTGTGTAAAATCAATACAGAGCCATAGATGGCTTGAGTTTTCGCAGTTCTCCTCCGTCATTTAAACAGAGTGCATCTGTGCAGTATTCTGCCTCAGGAGAGCAGCGTAACTTAGCAACCATGAGGTTTCCACCGATTAGCTACACCGTACGGCTATCAAAGCAATTGTTCATAGTTGCCTTTTGTTGCAGAGATTGAACTAATTGAACATAATACAGTATGAAGTTAATTAACACCCATGAGTTTGTTAATTGCCTCTTAGCATTACAGTCATGTCTCCTGGCTTCTTTCTAACTTGCTCTCCTGCATCCTCTAACTCCCTTATAAGCCACACAAGCTATTTTTGTAAGCAAAGATTGCTTTTAACCCTCGATTTTATCATCTCCCAGCCTCACTTCCAGCCTGTATTATGCATGATACAGACACATTTTAGATGTGGTCATATTGTTTTCGGAAGATAAAATACACAGTATAAACATACTTAAATTCTTAAATTAAAATGCACAGAATCTATACACTGGGTGATCAGTTTTGTCTCTAAACTTATTAATCTATGACCCATTTCTAACTTAGTCTTCGAAGGGTGGGTTACTGGTGAAAACACATGACAGAAAAACAAAAACAAAGTACAAGTAGTAGGGTAATAGTTATTAGAAATAGAATAGTTATTTGATGCTTCTCCATTTTTATAATATACAGGATGCTAAAACTTACAAATCATTTATTATAAATTACATCTAAAATGCTACAATAATGGAAATGGATGTCGTATTAATCGCAGTTGCACAGTTTTACTTCAAAAAGCAGCAAAGGAATACGAAATTAAAACATAAGTAAAATTTCACTTTTGAAATAAGCAGCGTAGATGCAGATTACAACGAAAGGCCTTTTCAGGACGGCTATGTTGAACATTTAAAATTCCTTTAACAACTGATGATTGTTTTCTCCTTTGCCAACAACCGTGTAACCAATTACAGCAGCTGAACCTTCGCCGATGCCTTCCACTCAGGTATACTGCTCTGAAAAATAAGAAGAGCGTTTGTTGCAAGAATACTGACATACCTACAGCTTGAAAGGTTTCTACAGTATGCATTCCTTTCCTTCCTGTCAGGTTTGTCAAGTCCGTACCTGTCTAAAAATGGATGAAGAAAACCAAGTTATACTGCAGGCTTTTTTTTATTATTATTCATTTAGGCTACTGGATATAGAGCGACCCACTAACAATCTCATTACTCTGTTTTTGTGAGTTTTAGAAACTAAAAGCAACATGAATTAAGTTGCCTTTAGCTAAAGATTTTAAAGGTGTTGGTTTATAATGTAGAAACAAACATCTAAGTTTTCATTATGAACAACAGAATACCGCAAATGTTTCTTAAATCTGTGCTTAACCTTTGTCCATACGTTTAAACATAAAACGAACCGTGAAGTGTGCTGAAACCAATCTTGTCGGCAAGAGAAAAATTCTTGTCTGTTTTGTAACCAAGAATATTAATTGAAACCAGCATCTGGTCAGCACCGCTCCAGCCCTATTCTGCGCCCCCCACCCACTGACTGCTCAGTGTGAGACCGAAACTTGTTTCCACGCAGTTTCCTCTGTAGAGTTGCAGGGTGGTCTGACTCTTCCTCCTTCGCCAGTCCCAAGACTGTGCAAGTCTCCAAACCAGGCATCCCAGTGCACGTAACGGCACGGGGGATATGTAATGCAGGTATTTTACCAGCAAGGAACTTCAAATAGGGACCAACACATCAAGAATTGAGCGTCAGGCTCCCGTAGAGCACTGTACAAAACATTTTATCGCGTTTACGAACTAGAAGTGAACTAAAAATAACAATACGTTTTTAAAAATAAATTAAAATAAACGTTTTAAATACATATAGATTCGTACCCATAGTTTCATATGACTTACAAAACTGCCGATAGTTATTAATAAAAGCCATCTCGCATGCGCAAGGAGTTAAACAGTTTTAATTACTGTAACTATGTTTCTGGTAGGCTCCTTTTCTTTCAGGGTGGTTTCTATTGGGCTGTATACGATAGGTGCATTAGATGTTACGTTTATGTGTTTTTAATTTCCGTTTGGTTATTTAGCGGTTAATTGTAAACAGGTTTGTCTAGAAATTAAAGTAGGCTAATTTACATCGGGAAAACTAGAATCTGCTGGAGCGCTTGAAGAGAAACACTTCTGTGGAACCTTGTAAGGACTCTAATTAACCACAGCGTCACATATTGATGTAGTTAAACAGTAGTTAAAAGGTGATTGATTTTTTAAAATATTTTTTATAACTTTGTAAATATTGTAAACAACTGCTGAAATACAGCTAAATGCCAGTCTACTGGTAAAATAAGAGCGTTTAACGGTGTTAACAATTCAAAGTAACTGCCGGTCTTTGGCTCAAGGAAAATCAACGTATTCTGTTCGTTTCCAGTTCCAAAACAGCAGTCTAACATATGCTGTCTCGCAGACAGAGCTTTCCCCAGTTGAATGGGAATACCCTGGCTGTGTCACAGTTGCTTAGCGTAGACTTTTCTTAAATTATTGAAGGTAGTTGCTGTTCCACTGCTGTAGTTAATACTTCCTAGTGAAGCTTCTCCCAAGAGGATTACATTCAGAGCCCAATTACAAGTTCCATCATCAATCATAAGTATTATTTATTCAGTAAAATGAATTGCTAATTAATAACTGATGAGCGTTATGGCCTTGAAGGCTGTAAAGCTATTAATTATGCTTGGCGATTGGGATTATGTCCGCAAAGGGCTACCTGGCAAGTTTTCACAGCAATTAGTACTAGGGGGTTATAGGGTTTACGTCTATTAAGATGACAAGATAAAACTTTTTCCTCTAAGGTTTACTGAGATCATTACATTCATGAGTAGTGCAGAGCCTTCGTAGCAGCATTATCAACAATATTTCAGTGTTCCTGAGTAGGGGAGGTCTGCAGCGGAAATAAAGTAGAACAGAGGTTGAGTAAAGTCCTAAATCACTCTAAGCCAAGGTCAATGCCTTTACTGATGACACAGCATTATTGGCAGATGCGCCATTGGCGCTCTTGGCCTGTGGACTGTGGGTGCGTGTACTTATATGCTGTGTCCACTAGGACCCAAGCCGCCAGCATAATACTCCGCCGGACCACACAGCTTGTTCTGCTCCTTATGTCACAGCCCTGTCTTAACTACGTGTTGAGTTTAGGCAGATTTGCAACTCGGTCTACAGATCTCAATTGACCTGAACTCCTTAACCTCTCAGCCATTCCATAGTAAGAGACAGAAGAAGATAGCCGATTTTATATATATATATATCGCAAACCCCAACAAATAATTTCATTTGAAAAGTTATCTAATTTACTTGAGGGACTACTCTGCTTCAGGGAAGGTTCATGTCTGTTTATTGGATTTCCTTTGCCTCAGCAGAGGAAAGTGAGCTGCAGGTAGGCGGTGGCATGGTGTACAACATTGAATGCCAAAGTTACAGTTAATTACAAGTATCGGAAGTCGTCCTTAGGAAACACAGGGTTAAATGATATATTCACCATTCTTTAGCATGTACACAGCTTCCCCGCCTTAAAAAGTCCAAAGATAACTGTCCTCTATTTAGTTTCTATTATATCAAGCAAACAAAACAGGTTGTAATAATGTCCTGCCATTTTCGAATAAAAAGTCTCTGGTTTTGCCAGTATTTTTTAGACTGCATATTTTAAATCAGTGTGTTATACATTATGCTGCCGCAAAATATGGAAAAATACACACGGAACTCAACGGACTTCAAATTTATAAAAGAGGAGGCTGTTAGGCCTATCTAGCTCATCTGGATTTTAAAAGCCAGTTTATCTTTTTTTTTTTGAAAGAAGGTTTGATATCGGCTTCAACAACATGGCTGGGTAGTTTGTTCCAGATTCCTGACTCCTACGCACACTTCACCTTCGTTTCCATTTGTGTCGTGTGGTTCATGCTTCACAGTAGGCTCTAAACAAGAACGTGAAACAGACTTTGTTAGTGCCTTTGAGTGTTTTGAATACTTGAATTAGGCTGTTAGGTCCCTGTAGTGTTCTCTGTTGAAGACTAAAAATATTTAGGTCTTTTAGGCCATCATTGTAGGGCATTCCTTTGAGCCTGAAAACATACCTAGATGATACAAAGATAATGTGATAAAAGAATTGATTAAAACTGGTGATAAATACCCTCTTTTTTGCTTTTATTTGGCCTTCTCAGTCCTTTAAGCCAGACATGGCCACCTCCATTCCTGCAGGCTGCAGTCCAGTGGGTTTCATAGGTCTCTTTAAATCTCCTGCTGCTTTAGAGTAAGGAAGAGGCTTCAACTTGTCTAGTTAAGCAAATAATGAGTTCAATTGGGTAATTAAGAGCTCAGGCAGAACCAAAACCGGAAAATGTCTGGCCTTCTAGGACTGCAGGTAGGTAGCCATGTTTTAAGCTCTAGTAGAATAAAAAGCCAGCAATTTATTTTGCCAAGAGAAAGGCAACAAAAGATAGCAAAACACTATTCTTGTCAGATTGGAGGACAAGGAGATAGATGGTAGTCAATAGATTTTTTACTGACTTATTCTGAACTCCAGAAAATTTGTCCCTGTAGAAAATGGCTAATAAAAGAATAACATGGCTACTTGCTGTACTGTGCTGCCATAGCCTAAAAGCTAATCAGAGCTACAGCGGTCAGATGTCGGTCCAAGGGCACTGTGATGCACCAGGCCTTTATGCTTTTTAATCAATAAGCATGCTGTAGACATGTATTTAGCCATTTTACTAAATTGATTTTAAAAAGTCATATATTTATAACATATTCCCAGATGAAATACTGTACATGTCCTGTAACATTACTTTTAGTGTAACTTATGCATCTTGTATATTTATTGGTTTAAAAAAACAAAAATACCTATCAAACTATCATATTTAGCGATACATTTGTTCAAATACCCACATAAATCTTCACATCAAAAGTACCCACAAATGACAATAATTGAAGGATTGTTTTTCTGAAGTACAGGTTGTTATAGGTGAATGTATTTACTTTAGGTTAAGAAGTACTGCAAATGACAGATTTGTCTTTTCCAGTCCGTGGAAAAAAAGGGTCTGCTCAGCTCATTTTATTATTACTGTTAGATTTTGTCTTCTGTAGAAATGTTAGTGGCAAAACACAGTAGTTTGGGGTTCACTTGTCTAACTAGCCCAGAGTCTTTTAGGACATTTTAGGACATACATGCTTTTTGGTATTATGAGGCCTGTTGAGCATGGATGTCACATGCAAACTTTCTGGGAGATAGATACATATCAAGGGTGAGGGCAACGTCAGATGGTTGATTAGTATCTCAAGGACAGACTTGTAGTCAGTCTCTTTTCAACAGACCATGATTAGTTCCAAAGTTCAAAACATCCAAATAATAACATCTGTTTAAATCTAACACTTTTACTCACATGCCATATCCTTTGCCTCTTTGCCACTGATTTTCCCCTTCTCAAAGAGACACCCTTACTCTCCTCTACCCAGTTTGTATATCAGCTGGATCTAATTATCCCTGCCTACACCTGTAATTAATTATTGGGCTGTCAGTCTCCATTTAAATGTGTGAAGTCTCTGGAGTCTCATAAGAGCCAAAATGGCTGCTTCCTACGGAAACCTGTAAGGGACACTTCAACTGTACAACTCAGTCAGGAATGTAGATACCCTCATATCCAATGCCAGTGTTGTTAGCTTAGCTGCTCTCACTTTCTAGTAAGGTGATCTGTGATTAATTGTGCTGTTCAGTTGGACATGAGCTGGTACAATTTCATGCTGTCCTCCTCAATAACCTATATTATTGGAGAGTACTTGGGATATGGGACTTTCTCATTTTAAATAAGTAGACCATTCAATCTGAAACATAAATTAGAGTAAGAAGGAAGAGGAAGAATTTGTTTGTAACCTCTGTTCTGTTTAATTTACTATGATACATCTCCAAAATACGTTTTAGAATTGTTTTGTTTTCATAATACAGTTCATAAAGAAGTGACTTATTGCTGTCTGATGGTGTGAGAGTGAATTAATCAATGGAGCCAAAGACAGCAAAAAGAAATTAGGTTTGTCTAATGTGAAATTGTCAACAGGAAATCATTTCTTTTTTTAGTGGGAGTTTCAAGAAATTTGCTGCAGCCTAAGTAGAATTAGGAAACCTCAAAAAATCCACTTGTATTACAGAACACTGAGGAATTATTTTCTACCAGAACTTTTAAATCATGCAGATCTGTACTCACTGAAGTATTATAAATGTCTTATATAATTGGACTTTTTTGTGCAAAATCAATTCTGTTGAAAGATGTTTTTAATCTGCAGGTCAATTTAAATTCTTCCAGCTGTCTAACCCTTGACCATTGGTAAACAAGCTGAAGTCCTTTGTGCCTGCCAATTATATATTTCCTGCTTGTGTGTGCAGTAAATTGATTGATTTGTCTTGAAATCAAGCAAAGATTTAATTAGGAATTTATACAGTCAGAATATTAAATATGTAGATAAAATTCATTGAGAGAAGTCATCATGACATTAATTACTACATATCTTTCTTCTCCACACCCAGCTACGTTTTGTCTGTCCAATCAGCACTTAAGAGAAATTCCACTTCAGTTTTGACCTTCTGTCGGGATATAGATGGTTCGCTAATCTGACAAATAACTATTATTCAAGTTAGGAAAAATAAAATATAAAATATATCCATTATCAAAATATCACTAGAAGAGGCAAAACAAAGATAAAGAACCATGAAAAGGTGTAATTCTTCCATTTGAGCCATAAAAAT